ATTCCTTGAATGGACAAAAGTGATGAGAGAACATTAATAGAACTTGTTCAGAAGATGAACAAAAGACATACAGGTTTAGAAAAACATGAGGGAGAGTAAATGATGACAGAATTTTCATTTCTGGGTGAACTGGTAAACTAACTCTTTGAAGTCGGCATGAAACGGAAGTTTCTGTAGACCTTTTTTCCTTATTGTGACATACAGTATGTCTGAGTAAAATGGCTTCTAGAACACAAAAAATGTGTGGGACTCGATTTTGACCATCAGAAATTGATTGGATTGTTTGATTGTTGTTGTTTGCTATTGCTGCAATCTTATGTGAGTGACAGGTTGTCCCGCCTCAAGCCAATCAACACGTCATCAGAGAAAAGATGACGTTGCAAGAGGGAGGGGAATTATTTTAATTAAATATTACAAGGGCACATGAATTTAAACAATCATGTGCACAGATAAATCATTTATAATGAATACTGCAATATTCTATAAAAAATAAGAATGGTCCATTTTGATTTTTAGTGACAAACCTTTATTTTTAAAAGTGTGGAAAGAAATAGCTCATACTTCAGGCACTGGTTGTAAATCTTGTGATGTTATGGTTCTGAAGAGGCTTGAAATACAGCTTTGGGCTGTTGAATTGCATTCTGTTGACTTTTTCTGAACTTCAGCAATTCACCATGATTTTCAATAAAATCTTGAATTCAGACATGACCCTGTCCATGGTGCTGATTCTATGCACAGGTACAAAAGCCAGTCACCTTCAGTTCAGTCACCATGTTACTGAAGTCCTGCATAGGTATTTCAAAACAAAGCAACAGAAAGCAAACAGCTTCCTGATGAGCACGACTAATAGCTCTATCAACTCAGTATTGATCTTTAGACAAAAGCAGCATGTTCGTAACAGAGAACACTCAAACCTAAATATCATCAGACAAAAGAGAACAAAATATACAGAAGAAATCCACAGCATTCATTTCCAAACAGTATCCATCTTAAAAATAATAATTATGATTGACCGCTTCGACTACACATTCAATATTAACGCACTTGCGTATGTAAGTCGCTTTGCAACCACAAACAGTCTACAGTTAAACTAATGAACTGCATTACATACCAGAATCCATGATTTTTATTATTACAAATAATAATTTAAATATTTATTGAACATTGGTGTCATATTGCCTGTGATAATTGCAAACTGTCTGTCTTCATAGGCTTGCTGAAAATTTACTCACTCTCAGGCCATCCAAGATGTAGATGAGTTTGTTTCTTCATCAGAACAGATTTGGATAAATTTAGCATTACATCACTTGCTCACCAATGGATCCTCTGCAGTGAATGGGTGCCGTCAGAATGAGAGTCCAAACTCTGATAAAAACATCACAATAATTCACAAGTAATCTACACGACTCCACTCCATCAAATAACGTCTTATGAAGCAAAAAGCTGTGTGTTTCCAATAAACAAATCTATCATTAAGACATTTTTAACTTCAAACTGTTGCTTCCTGCTAAAATGCGAGTCCTCTATCCAAAATATTGTTTTCTCCAGTAAAAAAGTAATCTTGTCTGAATCAGGAGAGAAATATGCACCAAATACAAGCGAAAACAATCCAAAAAGTTCTAAACCAATATGTGGGTGGAGATTTTGATGTGAGAGGACAACAGCAGATGGACTATTTCACTGGAGGAAGCATTATTATGGATTATGAACTCACCAGAAGTGATGGTCTAAAGTTAAAATGCTGTAATGTTTCTCTACAAACACGCATTTTTCACTTCATAAGACATTAACAGATGGATTGGGGTCATGCGGATTACTTATGGATTATTGTGATGTTTTTATCAGCTGTTTGGACTCTCATTCTGACGGCACCCATTCACGGCAGAGGATCCATTGGTGAGCAAGTGATGTAATGCTAAATTTCTCCAGATCTGTTGTGATGAGGAAACAAATTCATCTACATCTTGAATGGCCTGAGGGTGAGTAATTTTTCAGCAAATCTCACTTTTGGCTGTATTATTCCTTTGAAACGATCGTCAGGCACTTCACATAAGTGCAGTTTTTCCTACACAACCGCTTATAACCATTCAGGCGTGAGAAGGATCTTCATTTGTCAACCATCTAAAAAAAAAAACTTCAAAATGAATTGGAATCTGAGAAAATCCTCATAAACTTACAGAAAACTGTAGTACACACTACACAGTCACAACCACAGGCAGGCCTTGAAGTATTGTGCAATCATCCTCTAACAGTGTCTGAGGATTGTGTTGTTGTGACCAGGGAGCAGTAAAGCCCAATTCACAGACAGTTCCAGGCCAACCACATCCGTGATGCATGTGGCTTTATAGGACTCATGAATAGAGCCTGGCCTTGAGAGCTCAGCTTGGTAAATAACCATCAGAATGCAGCATGACTAGAAATTCTGACAAAAGCAAGAAGTCTTGACCTAACAGACCACTTTTGAATGCTTTGATATGGTTCCTTCATATATAGTCATCCATAAACAACCCTAAACACAGGGATGGGTATAGTAAGGAAAGTATAGGCCCTGGTTCTGATTTTGATTCAACATAACAATTACGGTTCTGTGATACTTTTTTTTTTTAAATAAACACAATTTACTACAACAAACTAATTGTCATATGTAATTGGACTGATTCTATACTACCATTCAGAAGTAGTATCTTATGCTCACCAAGGCTGCATTTATTTGAAGAAAAAAATGATATAAATAGTAAAACAACAACATTGTGAAATTTTATTACAATTTAAAATACATATTTTTTTATTCAATTTAATAATTTTTTTAAATGTAATTTATTCCTGCGGTCTCAAATCTGAATTTTTAGCATCATTACTCCAGTCTTCATGATCCTTCAGAAATCATTTGCATTTGAAATTTGCAAATGAATCAGATAAGTGCCTGTTCCATCTTTTAAAGAAACTCCAGAAGACAATGATTTTCATTTTTCACTGTGTTCTGTTAATTTTTTAAAAGATGGAACCAGTTCTTATCCAATTCTCAACACCATACATTACTCTAATACATTAAACCAGCACTTGACATTCAAACTGCTGTAATGTGATGAAGCAAAACTGCCCTGTGCCTTTATAATCCACATGACTTTGCCACGTCTTTGTGTATGGCCAAGATACTGAGGGTGGGAGTCTGATTAGTCTCGTCACACGCCACACCATCCATTGCCACTGAAACATTGATTCTCAATCCCATTACTTGGCCAGTCAGAGTAACAGATTGCTGCTGACTCCAGCCTGTTAGGGGCGTGTATATCACCCAGGCAGCCTACAGTCACCCTAAATATGTCCTCATTAAGTGTGAGGGAATCTTTACAGCTTTAGCCAATGCCCTTCCTGCACTACTAACATCTCAAACCAGGGTTGACTGTTGTGAATCAAATATGGAAACTCGTACAGTATCCTCACTTCATTTTTATTCTTAAAAAAATAGAGGTTCTTTATTGGCATCATTAGTTCCATGAAGAACCTTTAACACTGCACAAAAGGTACTTTATAGTGGGAAAAGGTTCTTTAGATCATTAAAATGTTCTTCACAGTGCACTAACAAAAAATGGTTCTTTTAAGAACTGTCCACTGAAAGGTTCTTTGGGAACCAAAAATGCTTCTTCAAAGCGAAAAACCTCTTTTGGAGCCTTTATTTTAAGAGTACTGAGCTGGATCTGATTTACTGTCAATCGACACACTAGAGAGACGAGGGAAGTTATGATTAGCAGAAGTTCCCTTGGAAAGCAAGGAATGCAAGAGTGCAATTGAATCAAGCACATGACCGTGCACCGGTCAAGGCATCTTTTCAGCCATAATTCCTTGGTCATGATTGGGAGTGTCCGTGGCCCTCATATTGCTCAATCTAATTACAGCAGTGGGCGTTACATAATAGTTTGTTACGGCTTCCTAATCAGTGAGCCATTCAAACGCTGATCTGCATGCGAAGGGCATATCTAGAGTGCCTGGTAAAAACACAGACAGTGAAAACCAAGAGCGATCGAGAAGGAAGCTGACCCCCTCCGCACCCCAGATTCAGAAGCAGTTGAACAGTAGCTGATTCATTATTATGCTGCACGTCACCTCGGCCAGGGATGCTTTTGGCTCTGTTTACAGCACTAGCTATTTCTTTCTTCACCTATGTCACCCTAATTCATGCCGCTCAGCTTTCTAAGGTCTCAGCACACCCGCAGGTGCATCGCATGCCGTATACGTTGCTCTTAATGAACAGCGTGAGCCGCCTGCAGACATGCATCCTCTCTCACCGGGCTGCAGGGCATGCATGAAGAGTGAGCTTGATGCCACAAGAGAGGGTGTGCACGTGAATCTCAGTGTCAAAGGTCGGCCTCCAACTCATCCTCACGGTCACTGAATGAGACACCACAGGCTGCTGACTTCTCGAGGAAGTAAACAGCAGTGCACAGATATGTCACAGACATTATGCAACGGAACTGCCTTGAGAACACAGGACACACAAGAAGAGGAACACAACAGTTCTGTCTGACTAATGCCAAGTCAGCTCTGTTTGACTGCAAATGTGCAAAACACACTCTCGCTCTGTAGTGCATAATGCATGCATGTGCAAGAGCACACACATGTAGGATGTCTTTTGATAAATGCATTATTCAAAAGTAAATAAATATTTTAGAATATATTTATGCATTTATTTGCATCAAAATGTTTAAATGTAGGCTATTTATGTTTAAAAATAGCTTGAAAAAAATACTGATTAAAGCCATACAAAAATATGTAGCAACTTAATTTAAACACACTATTAATAATAATTAAATGAATAAATACATGTTTGCATTTATTTATTACTTATTTTAAAAATGTTTTATGCAAAACATGTATGTGGCTGTTTAAACATGACAAATAAAAAGTCTAAATTGTTTCATCTCATTGGTAGCATCTACATCAGTGCATATTTAATGAATAATAAAAGGTTGCGGTTCAGAATATGTCATGTTTTTACTCACCTGGGTCGAAATGCGAGTTGAAGGCAAAACTGGGATTAAATAAAACCGAGGACATGACCGCGACAAATACCGACGCTTTCATCCTCCTCATAAGGCTTCAGATTTACTGCAGGACACCGTGATTGTACATTAAATAAAGAAAAAAAAATCGCTTCATAGAAGAAAATTAGGCATGAGGGTGCTCTGATGCATCATGAAACAGAGCGCGCGCGCCGCGTCATGTCTGCCTCACTTCAGATGCGTCGGGTTATGAAACAGATGCTGGGAAACATTTCCGCTCGGCTCTGTTCTGCGTTTAGCGCGTTTCAATGTAAACAGCGCGGTGTCTCCTCGTCCATCAGGCTGTTTACTGAAGGCTCCTCGGGGTAGACCACCTATCAGCGTCGCTTTTTTTCCATGTGCAGGCTATTCACCAAGATTTCGGTGTCTGGCAGTTATCCAGTACCATTCCTGCAAATGTTTTGCTCTGCCTGCAGCTGTGCCCTTCGGACACGCAGTGTTTGATATATACAGAGAGCTCCGGGCAGTTTATTTCGGCGTGTATGCTGGAGTGTGTAGAGGAGGATTATTAATACTGCAGCGGCAGTGACCGACAAGAGAGAGCGTCACACAGCAGCACTGTGACGGGTTTGGTCGAGGGAAAAAAACGCTCGGTGCTCAAAATCTGAGCTGTCGGAAGTAAAGACTCTTGCTTGTCTGACGGAATGCCTGCACTACAATATAGGTCTTCCCTGTTGAAAATAACTGCTTGAACCATCTTAAACTGGTTATGCTGCTTTAAGATGGTCTCCCAGCCTGACCAACAGAAAGTGCCCGAAATCCATTTAAAACCAGCAACATATCAGTCTGGGAGATCAGCAAAACATCAAGAAATATTTTTGAGGATGTACTACTTCCTCGTAATTTTTGCAAACAAAATCCTTGGCGAAACAGATTTATCAAACAAATTTGTGTTTATGCTCATGAGAGATTCAAAGGTTTCTGTTTACAACGTGTGTGTTTTTTTCAGTGTACTAGAGCAATGTAGCCAATCAGGGACATATCTGTTGATTTTGTCATGAGTCCAGTCTCTGTTACTCTTCCTGCTCACCACCAGAAGTTGTCAGGACCACAATGACTGTTTCACTGCACATTTCACTCCAAACTACATCTCCCATAATCCAATTTCACTGATTGCAGACACAGCTGTAACCTATCAAATGGACTATTAAGGTCACACACAACCGCACCCACACTAAGAAGTATTGCCTAAGCTGTAGCATTCTAGTCTTTACGTTTTCCTTGTTACCTGTGTTCTTGCCTTGCCTGCTGTGGGTTTTGAACTTTGGACTGTTTATCTGGTTTTTGGATCGTTTTGCTGCCCTTGACCTTTTGCCTGCTTGTGGATTACTCTTTTGTCTTGCCCTCGATGCTAATGTTTGCTGGTGATCAACCCTTGCCTGTCTGACCTCACTACTCTCAATAAAGCCTGCATTTGGATCCGACCCTGCCTTCACAAGCACTTTTGTTACAGATTTCTTGAACAAAATGGCCAATCCAAGGTGTTAGTCAGAATCCACTCATCGCTCAAAACGCCGGAGTTTTGTTCAGTGCCGAGTTAAGCTGGGCAAACACTGTGCTTTTCATTCGATTTTGAGCTGATTTCTGAGTCTTTCGGACGAATTTCAGCTTTGTCATGCATCATTTGTTGTGCAGTGTAAAGGGGAGTAACGAGAGGCGATTAACCTCTCCTAACCGGCAATCAGATGGTTGGGTGAAATTTGGTCACCTCTCGTTAGGGTATCAAACAGTTGAAGCAGAGTGTGTCGTATGGACTGAAGGGATGGAGACTACACAGTTCCAGGTTTGGGGGGTCACAGCTGTGTTCCAGACAATGTCTGATGTCTAAGTAAAAAAAATCCACTTCCGACTTCAAAAAGTTCCAGTCAGGCTGGGTTCTGGAACTCTGAATTCTCCCTTGAATGAAAAACTACTGGAAGGTCATGTTAGTCACCACCTTAACGGAAATAAGATCAAATGATTCTTATATTGAAAGTTGGGGACGATCGAACTACACCGACTTTACAAGCAATATGTCCGACACTGAGCAATGTTCCAGTAGTTATTTTCAATTAGGAGGTGGGAGAATTCCAAGTTCCAAATTTTCTGGAACATAACATGATGTATCTTGAGAAAGATAACCATTCGCATACCCATTCATCTCAAAACTTGGATGCTGACATCTATTCAATCTATAACTCTATAGCTTTATTCAAGTGACTGATCACTCTGGAAAATAAGATCCTGACAATGCTGATAAACAGGGGCTGAAGCTAACCATCAAAAACATATTTTCATACCCTTATTCATATCTGTGAAAGGAAATAACAATACACTATGAGATTAATGATGTGAACTAATTGTTGGTCATTGAAAGTTTAAAGGATGTGTAGTGCATACACAAATGTCTAGGGTCAAACAGTGCCCCATCAGGCAACAGCAAGTAAAGCAAGATAAAAACTGAAGGCCCACCTACTCAATGAGTGCAAATTAATTTTTCACCTCATAAGTCATTTCCGTGGCTACTGGATTAAGCAACTGCTCATTATGCAGCAAAAAAATGTCTAACCGCCCAACTGGTTAGACTGCTTAGACTGGTGAAGTGGCACAACTGTTCACTGGACAAATAACCTCTGCCTGAGAACAACACACCTGCATCATACTGAAAGGTTAGATTTACAAAACCCTTCTCTTATCTAAGCAGTGGATACTCCCTGCCTTTTTAATCCAGTACATCTATTAAGGTTATACAATCATTTAGTCATTATAATGTTACAGGTTATGTTTTTATGTGGCATCTGAGAGGTGACTGAGGGCCTGACCCTACAGAATAAAAATTGACTTGCTTTTAAATGGAAATTTATAATTTATTATTCATCATCTGATCAAATTAATCAAGAGTTACATTAGTAGAAAGAGTTTTAAGTTTTGCTCTTTAAAGATATCGCCTGTTTGATATCCACCTTGTTTGTTTATAAGGTAAGAGCAGTAGTTTTGGTGATCTGAATGTTCAAGTCTGGTGTCATTTGCTGCCGATTATCGTTTTATCTGTACAAAACATCCTGTTCTACCATTTTTGTCTTAATAGTTTGGAAGTCTGGCACATTCACCGGAAATAGCTTACTTCTGCATTGAAAATATACCCAGATAAGTAGTTTTAAGGTAGTGTCCACTGGGATTTATGACTTACCTGTGACTTTATAAATAAAAAACATTGTCTCATCATTGTCTCTAAAGAACTGCATTTACTTCCATGCTGCATTCACTGAACTACTGGTTTGAAACAAATGATCTGAGCCTGTAATGATAAGGATGAAAAAATACATTGATTGTGCATACACTCTAAGTACTATTGTTATAACAAAACAATGGTGGATACTTAAAGTCACTGCTGTCTTGCTCCCTTCTTTTTAAAATGTGAGAACCTTGTCAATCTTGCTCACTGCTAATGGAAACCACTGGTCTTCACTGTGCATATTAGTCTCTGCAGGGTCAAGCTGTGTTCCCCAACAGAACCATGTCAAGTATGTTTTCATGTTGTTTTTACTTTATTATGCATAAATTGTTGAAATGCTTTTACTTTGAGAATTAAGCACAATCATCAACATTATTCTATTCACCTAAATTAGAGCAGATCCAGCAGAACCAGATAGATCATTTATTAGTTTTTTAGCAATAATACTTAGAAATTATCTAGCTATTGAGTAACTACATGACAGCTTATAATATCATGAACATGTCTTTTGGAAAACAACAGCATAGTGTGGTTTACTTTCCATTCTCACTGATGCTTCCAAAATATCTTTCTCACAGTCTATGTGGCAACCCTACTGCACATGTATCTTGTAAACGACTGCCGATAAAGACGATTTATATAAATTGATATCCAAGTGTTTAAAAAGAGTATCAAAATATATGAGCACACTTTTTTTGATGGGGCATGTCACCAATTTCTGACGAAAGGCTAAAAACACACCTGATGAGAGAATCAGAGCTTTTCGAATCTCCTACTTGAACCAATGCTTTACTAAATGATTCAACCTTCAAAACCACGCTGGCGACATCTGCTGGTCTAAACAACGTAAATGCAACGACAACACAACCCAAACTTCTGTTCTGTTTTTATGACTAACTTTGAGTAAATGTTCAGTTTTAAATAGTGCATGATCAATGTAATACTCAATACTTTGAATTGTGTCCATTGCTATAGCTAATCTTTTAAGAGTATTTATTTTTTTCTCCACAGGTCATAAAAAAAACAATACTTCATCCCAGATATTTGCTTCTTATATTCTCCATTGGACTGAACATATTTTTAATATGTGAATCCTTACGCAACCATTGTAACAAATCACCAACAGTAAGAACTTTTACACCATCCATAGACACGCTTCTGGCAAACAGCACTATCCTTCTTGTATGGTTATGACCATTTGGAATAAAATTTGACCTAAATTCCTGCAGTTCCAAATTTAATATAGACGGTTGTTACTTAACTGTAGATAGAAAGCTCTAGAGCAAAGCTCACAGAGTGCTGATAAATCACAGAGATATTAAAAGCGACCTGTCAAATTTACCCACAAAACCATGGCTTTTCTTCCAGAAATGGATATGGTGTTACAGAGGCGGCTCCCGTACCATCTCAGCCTAGCCTCCGCTATTGTATCTACTGGTGATTGACCCTGTCTTGTCTGTTTACTCAATAAAAGCTGCAAATGGATCCGGACTCTGCTGATGCTTCGCAACATATGGATTCACTTTGAGTCCCCATAAAACACGAGACGGCTCGACGGTCTGGAGAACCTGTTTAATGTGACATTGAATTACCGACGGGATGCTGATATTGTCCTTCGTGAACAAATTATGATTAAAACAGAAGATACAGAGGATACGATATTGCCACAAGTTCTGGACAAAAAGGACAAGTTAGTTTGCTGGATTGTGGGCAACTGGAATGAGAAGCATGAAAGGGTAAAATACTATAATGAGCTTCAAAAACACATCAACATTTATGCTTTTGGGCGTCATTTTGGAAAAGTAATAAGTGATGCACAATACAAGGAAATATTAAATAGATGTTAGTTCTATCTATCATTTGAGAACACAGATGCTCACTATGACTACATAACAGAAAAGCTGTTCAATCCCCTCACACTCGGATCAGTGCCAGTGGCTCTTGGGGCTCCACGATACATATATGAAAGGTTTGTCCTGAAAGATGCTTTCATCCACGTGAAGGATTTCTCCAGCACTCAGTAACTGGGTGAACACCTGCTGTCATTGTACAAGAATGTTGAAGAATACAAAAGTATTGCAATGGCGAAAACACTTTGAAGTCAAACTTGTTAACTATCCCCAAGAGCATGCCTGCAGTGCCTGTCCATATATATGAACAAAGAAAGACTACCAAGTTTTTGGAAACGTTAACTAATAGTACTGGGATGCCATCAAAGATGGAACCTAAAGGTCATGGGTGTCTTTTTGTGACTGTATTGCTTTTGCCAAAACACTGGATGACACAGCTGGTCTAAACTCAGCAGC